ACAAGATTGAGTAAGGATATTGTTGATGTGTTGTGAGATTGTTAACCATTGTCATAGGGCAACATTTGTAGTAACTGTTAAATGAGAAACTATTTTGTTGTGTAAGCCTTCATCTTAAGTGAGAATAACAGCACAATTGGAAGATCGTAGTCAATGTCACTGAACTGTGCATGTAGAAATTTTTGAAATGATGCATCTTTGGCTATGTGTATTTTCACCAAAAAAAAGGTTGAGAAGATTGAGGGTTAATATGTTGAGGGGTTGTTAACAAAGGTCATAAAACAACATGTGTACTACTGTTTCATCTGAAACTATTTGTTCTGTAAGCCTTCACCTGAAGTACAATAAAATATAAAAAAAAAAAAAAAAGAAAGAAATATGTATTACCCTCCCAAGAGGTAGTTTCTTAATGAAATCACACTTTCTAGGCCACAAGTCTCTTAACATTTTTGATCACACATTTTGATAAACATATTTTTAGCATGCATCCTCAATATACATATTTAAATTTATGAATTTCAAAAACTATATCATAATTTCTTATATCATTGTTTTTGTTGTGTGCTGTTGAGTCGATTCCGACTCAGTGACACTATAGGACAGAGTAGAACTGCCCCGTTGGGTTTCCAGGAGCAGGTGGTGGATTTGAACTGCTGACCTTTTGGTTAGCAGCCTGAGCTCTTAACCACTTCACCACCAGGGCTGCATTAATTATATCATATTAATTATACTTGTAATTTTGAAGGATTCTGTTGGCAAAATATTGAACAATACAGGAAGCCATCAAAAGAAAATGGTAGGAATATACAGATCCACTGTACCAAAAAGAATTAGTTGACATTAAACCATTTCAGGAGGTAGCATATGATCAAGAACCAATGGTATTGAAAGAAGAAGTCCAAGCTGTACTGAAGGTGTTGGTGATAAACAAGACTCCAGGAATTGGTGGAATATCAATTGAGATGCAGCAACAAATGGATGCAATGTTGGAGGTGGTCACTTGTCAATGCCAAGAAATTTGGGAGACAGCTACCTGGCCAACCAACTGGAAGAGATCCATATTTGTGCCCATTCCAAAGAAAGGTGATCCAACAGAATGTGGAAATTATTGAACAATAATTATTGAACAATAAACATTAATATCAGATGCAAGTATAATTTTCCTGAACATAACATAATTCAAAACGGTTGCAGCAGCACATTGACAGAGAACTGCCAGAAATTCAAGCTGGATTCAGAAGAGGACGTGAAATGAACAGGGGATGTCATTGCTGATGTCAGATGGATTTGGCTGAAAGCAGAGAATACCAGAAGGATGTTTACCTCTGTTTTATTGACTATGCAAAGGCATTCAACCGTGTGGATCATAGCGAATTATGGACAGTATTACGAAGAATGGGAATTCCAGAACACTTAATTGTGTGCTCACGTGGAACCTGTACATAGATCAAAAGGCAGTCATTCGAACAGAACAAGGGGATACTACGTGGTTTAAAATCAGGAAAGGTGTGTGTCAGGGTTGTATCCTTTCACCATACTTACTCAATCTGTATGCTGAGCAAATAATCTGAGAAATTGGACTATATGAAGAAAAATGTGACACCAGGATTGGTGGAAGACTATTAACAAGCTGAAATATGCAGGTGACACAACCTTCCTTGCTGAAAGTGAAGAGAACTTGAAGCACTACTAATGAAGATCAAAGTCTGCAGCCTTCA